TGTCCCTGGCCGCTCCCATCCCCGATGCAGACCATCCTAGTCACACTCCCCTGTCAGCATTCACACACCCCAGCAAGAACAGTCCCAGTTCGTCACAACTGACTCAAAGGCTCTGCCTCCACCTGACTTACTAGTGACCTGTACTGCCAATAAAGGGTTAAAGTCTGTGCTAATGGAGACCTAGATCCCATCCGCCAGGGCCCTCCCCATGGGAGCTGCCCCCTGTGACTGGCTGGGGCTCTCTCCAGGGCAATAAATGGCCCTCCTCCCCACCGCAGGGGGTACAGCCACCCTGACACCTCCAGGCCCTGCCCAGTCCTGCCCCACTGCCTGTGCAGGCTGCCCCAGGATCAGCGAGGTCCAGCCCCCACTTTTCTGTTAGGACTGGGGGCTCTCCCTGGCTGTGCTGCTGAGGCCCAGGGATGGAGGGGAAGGGCCCCCCCCCCGGAGAGAAGTGGGCGCTTGAGGGTGAACGGCGCCCTGGGGAGTGAGCATGGAGCCGTGGGGCTCTGCTCTGACCAGAGCCATGTCCAGCCCGGGGTCCTGTCTGCGGGCAGTGTCTGGTGCCAGAGGCATGAGAGGGAATTGGGGGCTTGGAGCAGAACCACAGGGGCTCTGACTTCCCCTGTGAGCCAGAGCAGAGCTTTCACAGAACCACCCAAACCAGACTTCAGCTGTGTCAGGGACGGAGAATCCACCACAACCCCTGGGAAATGGGTCTCGTGGTTATTTCCCGCTCTGAAATTCCACCTTCTTTCCCGGCTAAATTAGTCTGGCTTCAACCTCCAGCCCTTGGATCCAACTGACCAGAGCGAAGAGAACTTGGTTCCCAACGTGAGAGAGTGCAGGCTGGGATCGAGTCACCCCTGGACCTTCCCTTTCAGCTGCACCGAGCTCCTGGAGACGTCACTACCAGGCAGGTTTCTAACCCTTTAACCATCCCCTGGCTCTTCTCCGACCCTGCTCCAGTCTAGCCACGTCCTTCGGGAATGGTGGGCACCGGGACTGGGCCAGGATCCCAGCAGCGGTCGCACCAGTGCCAGATATTGAGGGAAAATCACCTCCCTGCTGCTCCCCGAGATTCCCGTTTACACACCTCCAGGATCGCATTTGCCGTCTGGCTGCAGCGTCGCACAGAGAGCTCGTGTTCAGCCGGATTTCACCCCCACCAAAGCTTTGTCCGAGTCGCTGCTCCCCAGGACGGAGCCCCCGCCCGCAGGACGGCCTGCGCTCTCTGCTCCTAGATGGACTTCACGTTTGGTTGAACTGAAATACACATGGTTTGCTTGTGGGAGGTGGGGTAGGTCAGAGCTGCAGAGACACTCTCTGTCCTGGGCCTCCCAATGCTGATCTCCCTCCGCATCCATCAGGGCCAATCAGCCCTTGCCCTGGGCGTGGGGGGGCGGGGGCAGGTGCCTGATCTTCAACTGGAAAGTCCGGTCGAAAAAGGGACCTGACAGTGTCTGGTCAGATCTACTGCCAGACACCCAAAGTCCGGTTACTGCGAGCACGGGGGCACTGGGTCATCACCTGCATCGGCCCCTACTCGGCCAGCGCTGCCTCCTACCTGCCTCGGCAGCTGCAGCTCCCAGCCCCGGCTCCGCGGGCCAGTCCCTCCACAGCCAGGCGGGAGGGAGGGAGGAGAGCTGTGAAGGGCAGGAGAAGGGGCAAGAGGAGCAAATGGGGGCGGGGCAGGGGTGAGGTATGTGTGGGGCCTTGGGGAAGGGGCAGGGCCTCGGGGGAAGAGGCAGTGCGAGGGAGGTTCCGGCACTCCTGCTAAAGTGTCTGGTTTTAAACATTGCAAAGTTGGGATCACTGTGGCTGTATCCGTTCGCCTTTTTCCTCCCAACCCCAGTGCAGGGCTTGGGCCCAGAGAACAAAGTCTGCCCTAGCTGGGGTGACCAGATGTTCCGATTTTATGAGGACAGTCTCAATATTCGGGGCTTTGTCTTATGTAGGTGCTTATTACCCCCCCTCCCCCCTGGGTCTGGTCAGCCTCATCCTAGATGGAAAGGCCCCTTACCCCATCCCACCTCTCCCCACACCCTGAAGCACTGCCTCTGCTCTCAGTGTAATTGGGACGGCTGCTGTCTGGGACGGCTGGGTGTAGGGCATTGGGCCCAGCCAGACACCCGGGGGCCAGGAGGGGCAGCAGGCTGCACTCAGAGCTGTCAAGGTCCCTCTCTGGCATGCCTGGCTGGGTTGCCAATGGCCCCTGTCTGCCAGACCCCTAAGGGATCCCACTCTTCCTTCAGGGGGGCCACATGGCCTCCCCACCTTCTAGACTGAGCCTCTGGGCTCCAGCCCTTCTATTTCACGCTGGGAGCTCTGCCCAGCCAGGCCAGCTGAGAGACGCCAGGGCAGCGGTGTGCCCATGAATCCTTTGTGTGCCTCAGTTTCCCCCTACACTTTGCAGGGCTCCCCAGTGCAGGGGTGGGGGAGGATTACGTTTGCTCTCTGGGCAGGCTGAGAGACACGGGTGGTGTCACCGCCTTGCCTGGGTGGAATGAGCAGTGTCATTAACCCAGAGCCACAGAGACAATGCCAGCTCCAGTGACTTGTCTGCTGGTCGCTCCGGCCAGGGGGTTGTGAACTCAGCCTGCTCCTGCCTGGAGAACAAAGCCCAGATGTGCCCAGCTGTGGTTAATGAGGGCTTTGGGGGCTGGAGGAAGCTAGTTCTCTGAGGGGGTTAGAGCCAGCCGGGCAATGGAGTCCCAGCAGCTGGGCTGGTGAATTGCTCCAGACTGCCTAGGCCAGACGCTGCGTTACCCGCTCTGTCTCTGCGCTGACCCAGGGGCTGCCCACGCTGGGGCCAGGTGACTCATGAACCCGGCTCTGTTTGAGAAATGCGGCTGCGAGTCCTGGCTGGGGGCACGAGTCGCTCTGACGTGGACACGCCTCTGCCCAGGGTCTCTCTCAGCTGCCTGGCCGGGCAGAGCTCTCGGGGGGCAGCAAGGGGGCTGCTGGCACCCAGAGGCTCAGTCTAGGAGGTGGGGAGGCTGCAGGGCCTGCCCGGAAGGGAGAGTGGGACCCTTGGGGGGCTGCCCCACTGCAGGGTTCCCCCAAGGGACTGTTGAAAAGTTGGGTCATGGAACATACGAACGTAAGAACAGCCATAGTGGGTCAGATCAATGGTCCTTCTAGCCCAGTGTCCTGTCCTCTGACAGTGGCCAATGCCAGATCCTGCAGAAGGAATTAACAGAACAGGGCAATTATCCAGTTATCCATCCTCCGTCGTCCAGTGCCCACCTCTGGCAGTCAGAGATTTTGGGTCACCCAGAGCATGGGGCTGTATGTATCCCTGACCAGCTTGGCTCACAGCCATTCATGGACTGATCCTCCGTGGACTTCACTAGCTCTTTTTTGAACCCAGTGAAACTTTTGGCCTTCACAGCATCCCCTGGCAACAAGCTCTGCAGATCGACTGTGCGTTGTGTGAAGAAATACTTCCTTCAGTTTGTTTTAAACCTTCTGCCTATTAATTTCATTGGGTGACTCCTAGTTCTGGTGTTATGAGAAGGAGTAAATAACACTTCCTTATTCACTTTCTCCACACCAGTCATGATTTTATAGACCTCAATCATATCCCCCTTAGTCATCTTTTTTTCTGAGCTGAAAAATCCCAGTCTTATTAAACTCTCCTTATACGGAAGCTGTTCCAGACCCCTCATCATTTTTGTTGCCCTCCTCTGCACCTTTTCCAATTCCAATATATCTTTTTGAGATGGGGCGACCAGAACTCTTTGCAGTGTTCAAGATGTGGGTGTACCATGGATTTATATAGAGGCAATATGATATTTTCTGTCTTGTTATCTGTTCGCTTTTTTGACTGCTGCTGCACATGGAGTGGATGTTTTCAGAGCACTACCCACAATGACTCCAAGATCTTTCTTGAGTGGTAACAGCTAATTTAGATCCCATCATTTTGTATGTACAGCTGGGATTGTGTTTTCCAATGTGCATTACTTTGCATTTATCAACATTGAATTTCATCTGCCATTTGCCAGTTTAGGGAGAGCCCTTTGTTGCTCTTCATCATCTACTTTGGACATAACTATCTTGAGTAGTTTTGTATCATCTGCAAATTTTGCCACCTCACTGTTCACCCTTTTTCCAGATTATTTATGAATATGTTGCATAGGACTGGTCCCAGTACTGACCCCTGGGGGACACCACTATTTACCGCTCTCCGTTCTGAGAACTGGTCAGTTATACCTACCCTTTGTTTCCTGTCTTTTAACCAGTTACTGATCCATGAGAGGACCTTCCCCCTTGTCCCATGGCAGCTTCCTTTGCTTAAGAGCCTTTGGTGAGGGACCTTG